TATGAAGCACACTGTGACTTTCTTTGCTATCTTGGATTTGTGTTCATAGTGTTACTTTCTCCTCTCCTCCATTCCCCTCTCAATGGACATAAAGAGGTTCAGAAAAGATGGTGACAGTTGATAATAGAGCAGTTTCCCATGAGAGCTGGAGTAGATGTGCTTCAGAAATTAGTCTAGGCAAATGGAGAGGAGGAAACATTTTAAGAGACAGGAGTGAGGGGCTTCCCTGGTGACGCAGTGGTTAAGAATCCGCCTGCCAATGCAGGGGACCCGGGTTCGAGCCCTGGACCAGGAAGATCCCACATGCCATGGAGCAACTAAGTCCGTGCACCACAACTACTGAGCCTGTGCTGTAGAGCCCGCAGGCCACGACTACTGAGCCCGCAAGCCACGACTACCGAAGCCTGTGCGCCTAGGGCCTGTGCTCTGCATGAAGAGAAGCCACCACAGTGAGAAGCTCTCTCACCGCAACTAGAGAAAGCCCGCGCACAGCAACAAAGACCCAACACAGCCATAATTAAACAAATTTATGAAAAAAGAGAGACAGGAATAAAAGGATGTTGATTAAGATACACAGGAATTACAGGCAGAGTTAGTGAATGACCTCTGAAGTAGTTGAAGCTCTGTAAATAGTAAGGAAAGTCAGATGTAATCATATTGGTATCTCAATGAATAAATAGGATTGATATTGCTTGTAACTGACAGGAAAAGAGTACATTTTACATTGTACATCCCAATATGACAGCAGTCTCCACATATTCAAGTGTTTTGTGGGAAAGCGGGGCTTAATACATGGAATTTCACTTTCTATAAAAAGGTGTTAAATGATAATTGCTCTTTCTTTGAAGGTGCCAGAGGCCAATAGTCTCTGAAGATTCTTTTTGTACATAAGTATCCTTAAATCTTGGCTATCTTTGTTGAACTGTATAGTCTTGTAGGCTTGACCAGAGATCGCTTCTCAATTTGTGAATTAAGAAATAAGATCCAAAAAGGTCATGACTTTTTCATGGCCTTAGATAGTTAAAACCTTTCTTACTTTCATGTTCAGAGGTGTGTGTGTGAGAGTGTGTGTGTGTGTGTGTATTTATATATCTGTGTATATATCTACACACACACATATATATAGAAGGACCCAAATCCCAGAAATTGCTTACCCGTGACTTGGGTTCTTTGCTGTGAATAAATTTCCCTACTCCAGGGGAGAACACTGGAAGATGGCAATTATTTCTGTAGAATACATAAATTAACCTGTTGTTAAAAGTAGGTAAGTCAGTGAGGTTGCTTTTTTCCCCTTCTATACTTTTACTTTCTGGTTGATGGAGTTCACTTCCATCAATCGATTATATTTTCGCCTTCTAAATTGAGTCACTAAATCAGTTAAACAAGTAACTGATCTGTAAGTTACATTTAAGTCAGTTAACTGAAACACCATCCTCTAAGTAACCTCTTCTTTTCATTTTATCATTCCCTGGGAGAGCCTCCCCGTAACTTTAAAAAAGTGTACTCTGCATAGCCTCTTATGTATAGCTGTTTGTTTAAGCTTTTTCCAGATTAGCACTGCCTTATCTTGTTGACCATTTGAAGTTCACTTTTCAGGTTAACCTTTTTTGAATAAATAATAATTTATTGAGTTAATCAAGTAAAAGTTACCTCCACTGCCCATCTCCTTTGCCTGTCTCTCTGATCTAAATTGATATCATGGCCTTATGGCCATCAACTTTAGTGACTGTATAGGTAGTGGGCAATGTGAAGCCTCTCCCGAACTTTGTTACAGTAACTCTAGTGTATTTTGACCTTTCTCTGATATTGATATGTGTAATTGGTACCTTTTTTTTTTTCACTTTGGTTATTATGTAGGTGACAAAAATGGTAGGTGAATATGTACTTTATAAATGTGATGGGAAATTGGGGTAAATGACAAAGTCTCACTGTAGAAAATCTGGAAATGGGGCAAAAAATGAAGGAAACACAAGAATCCCCAAACCCAGAAACAATCCCTAATAGTATTTTTGTCATGAACCATTTGAACAAAATTATTTTGTACATAATTATTTTATTCAGAGGGTAAGTTAGTATCTTCCCACAGCTTAAATCAGTTGTTACAGTATTTAAATGTGTAAAATTTCCACATTTTTGTTATTTTATAAAATTTTACTAGGTGAGTCTACTGTTCTTAAACCTTCCCCGTCATTCACAATAAAAATACTGTTTCTTTGCTTCATTACTTTTTTAAATTAAAAAATTTTTTATTTATTTATAAATTTATTTATTTACTTTTGGCTGTGTTGGGTCTTGGTTGCTGTGCGTGGGCAGGCTTTCTGTAGTTGCAGCGATCGGGGGCTACCCTTCGTTGCGGTGCACGGGCTTCTCATTTCGGTGGCTTCTGTTGCAGAGCACGGGCTCTAGGCATGCGGACTTCAGTAGTCGTGGCACACAGGCTCAGGAGTTGCAGCTCGTGGGCTCTAGAGTGCAGGCTCAGTAGTTGTGGCACGTGGGCTTAGTTGCTCCGTGACATGTGGCATCTTCCCGGGCCAGGGCTGGAACCTGTGTCCCCTGCATTGGCAGGCAGATTCTTAACCACTATGCCACCAGGGAAGCCCCCTGCTTCATTACTTTAAATGTAGCAAATGAGAGTTTTGTTTTTTAATAATTTATTTATTTTTGGCTGCGTTGGGTCTTCATTGCTGCGCATGGGCTTTCTCTAGTTTGCGGCATGTGAGCTTGTCAGTGGCTTCTCTTGTTGCGGAGCACAGGCTCTAGGTGCGTGGGCTTCAGTAGTTGCCCCTTATGGGCTCTAGAGTGCAGGCTCAGTAGTTGTGGCGCACGGCCTTAGTTGCTCCGCAGCATGTGGGATCTTCCTGGACCAGGGCTCAAACCTGTGTCCCCTGCATTGGCAGGCGGATTCTTAACCACTGTGCCACCAAGGAAGTCCTGAGAGTCCTTTTATGCATTAGAATTTGTTCATCTATTTGGAGGTTTTTCGGTTTGGGGGACACTAATGGCACCTGAAATGACAGTATCTCATTCTACTTTGTGGATTAACAGTTTTTTTTTTTAAATGAGTTGGTTTGATTGTAGGTGGTACAGAATTCAAGGTAGAACAAAGGTTGAAGAGCAGACTGGCAGGATTCTGGGATGGGTTTACTTTGACCTCACAGCTAAGGTAGAAGTGGCTAAGGATGAACTGAAGAGATGAGCCACTGTATGAACATTTAAGAAAAAAACTTGTGCCACAGGCTCCAAGACAGCCCTTCATTCTAGCTAGAGGTGGCAACAGATGTTACTGAAGAGAATTCAGGTGTTTAAACAGCAATGGAAGCAAGGGTCACCGTCACCTGAGGCATAAAGAACAGCTTGGTTTTTGCCAGAGTTCCTAATTACACCTGTGGCCAGGAGACCCTTCCCCTTGGCCTTCACTTTTACCTCCAGCTTCTTCTGCTCCTTTTTTTTTTGTTACTGCTTGAAAGCCTTATCGTCCTCTTCCATCTCGTTGGCCTGCTTCTTGGGCTGCTTCAAGGGCTTCTTGCCACTGTGCCTTCCCCAGACCCTGCCGCTGGAAGCAGTTAATTATTTTTGAAAGGAGTTAGGAATTATATAAAAATGTAAACACATTTTTTTAAAAATATCGAACGAGAGTTGCAAGACAGTTGAAAAAGAGAAACGGGGAACCTAATAGAGCATTATGTAAAAGTTGAGTTGGGAGTCACTAGCATTGTAGAGTTTTATCTGTAGCATTGTAGAGTTTTATCAGCTCCAGGAGGCTGGTATCTTTTTTTATTAAAAACAGCATCACAATTGTAATGATTATGGTGGGCTATCTTTGTGAAATTTTTTGTTTAAAGGAAACCTACTTTGAGGGAATTCCCTGGCGGTCCAGTGGTTAGGACTCCATGCTGTCATTGCCTAGGGTGTGGGTTCGATCTCTGGTCAGGGAACTAAGGTCCTGCAAGCCACGTGGTGCAGCCATAAAGAAAAAGAAAAAGAAACCTACTTTGAAATTTATTTGTTAACAGGAATTTAAACTGCATCCTGATTTACCCGGTAGATGCACACACGTATATAGTATACATATATATGTATTTAAACAAGTAATATTCAAACTTTCTTTTTTTCTCTTCCCTTTTCTCCAATTCCTAATGTTATAATTTTTACTATTTGAGGGGCTATAAACATATAAATCATTTACTTTAAATGATGAAAGGTTGTGTTTCTATTTTTATTTTGTACTTGATTTCCTTGATGTTATCTTTGAGTTTTTGGGTTTAGAGATATTTTATCATAGCACCTAACCTATTCTGTTCCCTGTTTGCTTGTCTGTATTCCATGACAGACTCTATACTCCTGAGGGCTAGAGTCTTGTTCACTAGGTTATCCCATTTACTGTAAACAGTGCCTGGCATGTAAGTAGGTAATTAATAGCAAGAAAGGTTAGAAAGACATACACCAAATGTAAAAAACCATTATCTGAGTGTTGAGGTTATTGCTGATTTTTAATCATAATCATTATCATTTTGAAAACAGTGAAATTAATCCCTAGAAGGAGAGAGTACAAAGAAGACAAAAATCAGTACTGTCTGTGATAAGTGTAATCACCAAGTCCTGATTTGTGCCCTCTGCCTAGTTTTCAAAAATAAACTGTTGGAATCCAAGAATGTAGGAGATAATGGTCCCCAAAGGAAAAAGATAATATGCGTGGGAAGACTTTATTATGGTGCCCCTAGTCTGAGACAGCGCTGGACTCTTGGGAATTAGAAAGAGAACTATGCTACCTCCCCCTGTATTGAAGGATAGGGAGATCAAGAGGTAGAGACAAAGGGGAGATGGCAGATGTTGGAGATTATCAGTAGTTGTTTGGAATTTATTATTTTGCTGTTGTAGTTACTTTTTAATAAATGATATTTTCTTTATTTTCATTTGAATGGCTGAGAAGATTTACTTCATGGAATTTAACAAAGATGACTTTTAATAGTTATTATTCTTCTGTTTGCTCCCTTAGCATTTGACATTGTGCAGCAAAGAAATGGTTATGGAGAAGCCCAGTCCGCTGCTGGTAGGGCGGGAGTTTGTGAGGCAGTATTATACTTTGCTGAATAAAGCTCCAGAATATTTACACAGGTAAATTTTAATTGCTTATTTGATATTTTTATTGGGTTTTATTTTTTTGAATATGACTACATATAAATTTTGTCTTTCCTGTTTTATGTCCTGACAGTACCTTTGCAAGGCATGCCCAGTATTTTAACAGTCTGATGGCTTAAAACCAGCCTTCTTCAAGTTCTTTGGACTCAAATCTATAGTAAGAAAAACACCTCACATTATATCCCATTATATAACACATTCACATCTGTACACATCACGTATACACAATTACATACTCTTGGTATTTTATATTTCATTTTTTTATAAAAACCACAGACTTGACCAACTACTGGGTTCTAGTCTTTATTGAAATCACAGGCTTAAGTTTCTTTTTTGTTTTTTTGGGTTTTTTGTTTTTTGTTTTTTTTTGAGTTGTCTTTAGCAATGTTAGGAAATGAATCAGTTAAGTGATCATACTTGTGAAAATTACTCCTGATTGATCCACAAGATAGTATTCCTTGGTAAAAGAGCAACAGTAGCCTTGTTTACTATTTTGGCAAGAGTTGGACATCTGTAAGGTTCTTTTTTCCCAGAGATTGAAATAAAATTGATTTATATTATGAGTAGTATTTATAATTTTTGTTCTACCTGGTTTATTTTAACAGGTGGAAGATAAGTGAGACCTTTGTAAGTATAGGTTCTGCAAACATTTGTTGTAGAACACACTAGCCAAGTGAGTTAAGGATAAATATACCATTGTCACTTCATGTGGGAAAGACTGTTAAAAGGACTTATTCTTTTATCTATAGGTTCTCTTTATAATCATGCTGGGCATTCTAAAGTTTTACTTTGCATTATGCCCCTCCATTGTTAAACCTGTGTGTAATACTCCCTATGTTATCCCAGGGGGCATTTTTATATAACTACCCCCTCCTCCCGTACCCCCCCAATCAAAAGGAATACCTGTACATTTTCTATTATAAAAATAAACATTCTTATTGACAGGGTATGTGAATTTGAGAGAGAATGGAATTAATAAGGCCTTTTATTATCTGAAATTTAGTCTTCACAGTGTAGACATTAACATTTTTAGCTTTCTTTTTTTTTAACAAGGAAAAACAAGGCTCTCTACCATCATTTCAAATAACAGCACAAACTTCTGTTTTCTACTTAGCTATGTAACAGATTTCCCTGTTAATGAACGTTTAGTTTGTTTTTAATTTTTCACTTATTAACACTAATGAATATCCTTACACATGCATTTTTGTGTACCTTTCTAGTTATTTTCTTAGGCTGAGTTCCTAGAAGTAGAATTGTTAAGTCAAAGGTATGACTATCTCTAAGGCTTTTCTTATACACACTTACAGCCAAATTGTCCTCCAGAAAAATGATAGCTGTTTACATGCTTGCCAGTAGTACATGAGAGAAAATAATATAAACTTAAAAATATGGGTAATGGTTAAAAGCATGGGCTCTGGAGCCAGCTGCCCTAACTTGATAGGTGTGTGACCTTTGAGGAGTTAATTTAACCTCTTTTGAACTTCAGTTTGTTCATTTAGATAATAACACTTACTCCTGAGGTGTTAGGAGAGTAAAATGAATCAATATGTATGTAGTGTACTGAGAACATGGCTTGACATGGAGGGAGTCTTACATGTTTTATTACAATAGGAGCTGAGTTCTCTTTACGAAAAAATTAACTTTGCATGTTGATAACCTTAATTTAGGAAGATATTAATTCTAATTGCTTTAGGTAATACCAGAGAAACACTAATTTGTCACGTACTTAAGAGCAGTATAAAAATATAATTGAGAAATTAGATGCCGAAATAATGTAGATTTTTTTTAACTTAGTCTCTGAATTATTTCAATTAATTTACATCTAAACTTTTAACCTAAGCCTTTGGAATTATTAATCATTTGGAACTCTCAGTAGAGTGAATGTTAAACAGTATCTGATTCCCAAAGAAATTTAGATAATTGAGTTTTTGTATCTGATGGGGAAAAAATGGGTAAATTAACTACAGCATCAGTGTTTAGAATATATTTTGAATGTCTCATTTTTCCACTTAACAAAATATAGATATGGTAAGAATTAGATGAGAATAGCTAATGACTGAGTGTATATTTAGTGTGCCAGGCACACTAAGAATTCTGTGTCATTACTCATTTAATCCTTACAACAAGTCTATGGAGAAGTTACTCTTGTTCTGTTTTATAACCAAGGAAAGTGAACTTTGAGGACTGTAAGTCTCAAGATTACATAGCTAATGAGTGACAGAACCAGACCTGGAAACTAGGTCCATTTGACACGAGAACTCTACTGCCTCTTACACTTCTCTTCACAACTGAATGTCAGTCATTATCAATGGTTTTACAGGTTTTATGGCAGGAATTCTTCTTATGTTCATGGTGGAGTAGATGCTAGTGGAAAGCCCCAGGAGGCAGTTTATGGCCAAAATGTAAGTATCAATTTCATATGCATTTTAGATTACTTTAGTGTTTTTTTTTTTTTTTGAGGTAAGATAGAGATTTGGAAAATAGCTTCTTGTGCCCACGGATTTCTTTTTGAATGTAATCAGCTATACAAGAATTATGTCACAGTAGTCATCGGATGTGCTTTGAGTTCTTATAAACATCGATTTTGTATGAAGCACGGATAATACACTGGCATGGATACAAAAGAGAAAATGGAATATTTTAATATCCTTGGTGTATTTTATACATGAAATAGTTGAGACAATGTATAGCATTTATAGAAATGTGGTCTAAACCTTATGTTACAGGAGTGCATAGGAGTATATACTCCTTATGACTTTGTAGAGGATGTGGGACTTCCAGCAGACTCTGAATGATAGGTTTTGGCCTTACCAAACAAGAGGAAATTGAAAGTAGGAGAAGTGGCATCAGCAGACAGGCAGTAAAGTTAGGTGCGAGGTCAAGGAGTAGTCAACACAGTTTACGTGAATGACTTGTACTTAATATGGAATGGTGGGAGAAAGCTGCACAAAGCCTATAACATGAGACAGCCATTGTGATTTCTTGTATAGAGAGGTGACATGTTGAAACTAGTGGTTCTAGGAACATTAGTCTGTCAGTAATGCCTAGCATGGTGGAATGGATTCAAATGAGGCACTTAATATTCTAGAGTTGTGAGGAAGTCAAAGTCTATCGTATTGAATAGGTAATGCAGTATCATGAGTTTGTATTTCCACCCCACCTTCTTCTCCTAATAAAGGATATACACCACAAAGTATCAGCTCTGAACTTCAGCGAATGTCATACTAAAATTCGTCATGTGGATGCTCATGCAACCTTGAGTGATGGAATAGTGGTCCAGGTCATGGGTTTGCTGTCTAATAGTGGACAGCCAGAGAGGAAGTTTATGCAAACCTTTGTTCTGGCTCCTGAAGTAAGTTTTCATTTCAATTAATTTTCACTTACGTGATTTCATTTTACTATTACTAGTTGCTTGAAGTGGCCAGAGTTTCTTTTTGCAGGCATAGGTATGCATGTAACATATTTTGAGAAATATGACCTGTTGATTAATTTATTTGAGCTTTGTGTGTGTGCTTTGACTATTTAGAAGTAAAAGTGAGGTCCTGATACTAATGTGTAAATAGATGATTAAGATTATAGAAATGATATTAAAAGTATGTTATTATTTAATAGGTTACATATTAAACAAAATGGAAAAATTCTGTTTGTTAATTAGTCCTGGTTCTTTTATATTGAGTAGCCATTTCTTGAGTTTCCGTATTCCTTGAGTGATCTTGTGTAATTTACTTTATATTAACATCAGAGCTTGTTCAACTTTGGAAAATTATCTTCCGTCTATATCATTTCTGTATTATTAAAATAGAAATTGTGTTTATTTGTTCTTTTTATGTAATACCACATTTATGGGTATTTATGGAACATTTGGATTTTGTTTTCCTATAGGGATCTGTTCCAAATAAGTTTTATGTTCACAATGATATGTTTTGTTATGAAGATGAAGTACTTGGTGATTCTGAACCAGAACTTGATGAAGGTGAGGTTACTTTGAAGATACAAGGGTTTTATCAGTATCAGGACTCTTTAAGGACATGGAAAGTGTGAAACTAAAGAAATTTGCCTCTGTCATAACTGAGTCAAACTCCCTTTTCTCCTTTTTGTTCTTGTTATAAAAGAAATAGTTCATTATATGACATAATGTAAAAATCATACATAGGAAGTGAAAAATTTCCCTCAATTTCATCCTCTATAGATAACCAAGAGTTTGGTGCCTATTATAGAATTTTGTTGTATTCCGTACTGATCAGTACTTTCATAAAAGTGGAAGTACACTGGCTCAATGCTTGCTTTTTTTCACTTAACATATCTTTGTTGGCTGGGTTTTTTTTTTTTTGGCTATACCATAATTATTTAATTGATCTTCCATTTCATCTTGTTTCCTTTTCTTTACCATTATTCCTCCATTGAATCGATGTGACGAAGGAAACTGAGCTATGACTTTAATAGCTTTTTTTCCTACCCTTCCCTGTTACCAATAGACCTTTTTAAAAAATAAATTCCAAAATTCATCTGTCTTGCTCTTCAGTTTAAGAGAACAAGGAATATTGCAATTAAGTGCCTTTGTAAGAAATATCATATGACTTCTTTAAACATTAAAAATACGTATATCAAATTGTGTATTAAATCCTCTTAAAATGAGATATGGTATATTATGTATTTTCAGAATCAGAAGATGAAGTAGGAGAGGAACAAGAAGAAAGGCAACCATCTCCAGAACCTGTGCAAGAAAATGCTAGCAGTGGTTACTATGAAGCTCACCCTGTGACGTAAGAACAGTGTCTGCAAGGCCAAATTTGGTCTAAACTATAGTGTAGTTGCAAGCTGGTTTTTGTTCCTAGAATTATTGTTGAAAGTAAATTTTGCTAAAGCTGTGAAACCAGCATTTGAGAATTTACTGTGTATATGCAAAGTAAATTCTATATGGAAAGCATTGTTTTATTTAATTCAAAAATTGAATTTGGTTTGGCCCAAAACTGATCATTTGCTGATAATGCATTGTGTTTGGGACAACACAGAGTAAGCATTTTATTTTTTGAATATGTGGTTTGTTTATAGTTAGTATTAAAGTAAACATTTTTAGTAATCCAGTTTTTAAATTATGTTAAAGAAATGCTGCTTGAGAGTATTATTTCCTCTGCCTTCTAGTTCTTAATGGACTTTTGCTTCAAAACAGCTTATTACTAGTTATGCCCATTAAATTAGAGAAGTGCAGAATTTTATTTGAATTGATCATTTCACTCATACTGAAAAGTGAACAAAATATTTTATTGTAGTAATGGCATAGGGGAGCCATTGGAAGAGTCGTCTCACGAACCTGAACCTGAGCCAGAATCTGAAACAAAGACTGAAGAGCAGAAACCACAAGCGGAGGAGAAGAACTTGGAGGACGTAGAGGAGAAGCCCGCTTCTCCTCCTCCCGCTGAGCCTGTGTCGCTGCCACAGGAACCACCCAAGGCCGCTTCTCCCCTCCCGCTGAGCCTGTGTCGCTGCCACAGGAACCACCCAAGGTTAGAGCAGAGGAGCTCTTCACGCCTGCGACGTCACACTTTCTTATTTGGTGCCATGAATGAAGCATGACCTTTGTTCTGTTAATTAAACTGTTTCACAGTAAGCTATGCTGTTTTTATGTATATGAAAGAAGCTGTGGGGATATTTTTGGTAATTCTGAGGAAATTTTATTGTATTTTCACCCCCTAAAAAACACCCCTCAGGGTAAAATTTAAGATTAATCCTTGTCTGTGTGCAGTGTTTAGTATCTTCTAGTCCATGTACTAAAACTGAGAATTGCTCTTCCATTCTGTATTAAGTCCTCTATGCAACAGGAGTCATGCAATTTGCCAACTTAAAACAAGTTGGCCTATTGCTAAGAGAAGTGATACAAGTTATTTCATGTTTAAATGGGAACAATTTCCTTACTACACCAATTAAACTATCTTGGAAACATGAGTGACACCCATAGTGTATCATTTAAACCTACCTAAAACACCTTTTATCTTTCTGTAAAGTAGAAGGTTAAAGTATATTTGCGTAGTGAGGGAAGGAGATTCCTTGTGCAATTTGTGAATGTCTGTTAAACTCTCCAGCTAGTACTTTCTTCTTTCCTATCCTTCCCCTCTCCCCTTGACACCATCACAACACCTTATCTTCCCCCAAAAGGGGAAAGAAATTGGTTCTATTAGGTTCTTATTTTTCTAGCATGTAGAGTTGTTAGTGGTTTTGTTTGCCACTTGCTCATCTCTTTAGAGCATATAGGAACTTGCTTCTGGATTTATTTAGTAGTTCACACAAAACAGTCAGATAATCTTGCATAATGAGATTTTGAAAGCTGGCACATAGACTGGCATGTGTGTGTGTGCCTTTCTTTTAGGAGTCCTCCAATATAGAACAATAGTTTAGAAATGAAAAGAAAATATATATTTGGAAGTTTCCCTATAGGAATGTTGGTGGTTTTCCATGATTAGTAGTCTAGGTTTGTTGCATTTCCTGCAGGCTTTCTCCTGGGCTTCAGTGACCAATAAAACCCTGCCTCCTAGTGGTACTGTTTCTTCCTGTGGAATTCCACCCCATGTTAAAGCACCAGTCTCACAGGTAACCAGTCTGTGAACACATTGGATTGTGTCCTTGTTACATTGCCAATCGCTTATCTTTTTTATACTTTTTAAAATGAGTCAATCAGGGCCTCCCTGGTGGCGCAGTGGTTGAGAGTCCGCCTGCCGATGCAGGGGATACGGGTTCGTGCCCCGGTCTGGGAGGATCCCACATGCCGCGGAGCGGCTGGGCCCGTGAGCCATGGCCGCTGAGCTTGCGCGTCCGGCAACGGGAAAGGCCACGACAGTGAGAGGCCCACATATGGCAAAAAAAAAAAAAAAAATGAGTCAATCAGAAATTATGGATTAAATATACAAAAGAATTGCATTAAATGTCAGTACACCCACTTTAATTGCCAAATCTCCATTCATCATCTACATAGGTGGTATTTGGGGTTTGGGTGTGTCAAATACAGATTAAGTTAGTTTTACCAATACATATTGTCATTTAACAGCCTTCTTAAAATAACGAAAAAAATATCCTTTTTAAAAATTTAGAATTTTATTTAGCAAAAATATTTTAGGGAAGAAATTTGGAAAGGCACAAAGTAGTATGGCATTATAAAGAATCATTGTTTTTTAAAAATAGAAAAAACTCTAAAAAAAATACACTGCCTAAGCTTTCAGTCTGTAAGTGCTTCATACCATTTAATTGAAGCCTGTACCAACTTATGACTGTAGTGTTCACCTTAACTGATCATTCTAGTATTCTGCTTTTTGTCTGTTTGTCATCTTACCCATTTCAGAGCTTTCAAAAACATTGAAAATAAGACACTGGCTACCTAATAAGTTTACTAGGTGTAGTATAGAATTAACTAAATTCTGAAGTTAATAGGCACAGTTAAAGGGTGTCCAATACTTTCCCCTACATTTTGAATCAAACTTCGTTCCACTAGAAAATTTACATTTAGAATGCTTAGTGCACATAAAATTGTGTTTATATACCTCTTTATATGCTCTAAACAGTGAAACTTTGAGATTTCAAAAGTAGCTAGTAATAGACAGCCTTTCTGGTGTTGTATGCGTAATCAGCTACGTAATAAAATACATGACCTCATGATACCTTTTTTTTTCTCAGCTAGATATTCAGGAAATATTGAGTAATTACCTCAGGTCGCAAACTAGAATTCTGTCTTAACGCAGAAGATTAATTTGCCAGGTATTGACTGCTTTTCTACCCATCTGAAGACTCAATAAGTGACTTACGGATTTTTTTTTTTTGAAATGCTTGATTTCTTAACAGATTTGCATTAGGAATCCTTTGGATTGTTACTTAATTTCAGAGAGTTGGCTACATTTATTTTAAACTCACTTCTAGTTAAAAGTTAGAGTAGCTTATACCTCTTACACCTTTAGTGTGGCACCAGGCATTGTGCAAAGCACTAGCACATAATATTTATTCTTATCTAATCCTCACAACCACCCTGTGAGTATGGTTACTGTTATTATTCCTGTTTTACAGATAAGTAGATTAAGGGCTAGAGAACTTCACCCAAGGTCAGATAGCTATGTAAATAAAAGAGTAGGGCTTCAAATTTATGCAGTTGGACACTCATGGAAGCCTATAGGTTTCTTTAGCCCTTGGAGGGGAATGTATCTGTATTTACGTCAAAGAAGAGTGCTATGTCTAAGCCATGTCTAAATTACATTATATTAGATCCTAACCTCTTGTCCAGGGGGAAAAATTTTTTTAAGTTTTTTAAAAAAATTGTAAGAGACTGTGATTCCCAGCCTACCCCCTTATTAAGACAAAATTTTAAACATTTATAATTGAAACCTTAAAAGAACTTTCTGATCTCCTTAAGCTATGTTAGAATGGATTCATGATTTTTTCCACTTGATTTAATAAACCCTTCGATTTTATTTTGTCACTTTGGTGTAGTATCCATTTCCTTAACACTTTTAGCATAGATTATTAGTAAAAGGAGAATTAAATCCAATTCCAGGGTATTGGTAGGCATTGATTTAGAAGTAGGTAAGTTAATTTCTTGGTAAATTTCTTAGAAGTTGATTAGTTCATTTAAATAGCTTATGTGCGGTTGAAATACATATTAGTTGTGGTTTTACCTGCTATTGAGTTGATCTGATGGTTTCATGTTTATTTCATATTCTATTTGATTTTCATTTGTGGAATTTGTCATGTGAGCACACTTTTTGGTTGCATGGCATTAATTGTAAGGCCCTAAAGTCGTATGTGGTATCTTAGTTATTTTTACCTCCTTGGAGCAAATAGTTTTCATGAAATTGAGCCTGAAGAATTGTAAGCGTACAGCTGGCTTAGTTGACATACAGTAATCAGTTACTGAAAGAAATTTTGATAATTTTTTTTTTGGTCTCATTTTTCCTATATTGGCATCATCTAATATCTAAAAGTCAGGTTGCTAAATTCATGTGTGGATTATTTTAAGCTGTTGGCACTTACTTAAATTTGTGTCTTTTAATTTTAAATCCTTAAAGGATAATGAGGAACTTTTTTGTTTTGTTACTTGCAGTTATTTTTGTTTCAGTAATCTGTTTTGAAGAGAATCTGAATTGGTCAGCCAGAATTCTTTTTCTTGGTTTGAATGAGTCGAGGTTTTCCTGAGACATTTAAATTAAAAGGTGTACATTTGCTATTTTTATTACTTTATTAAACATACTAGCTTCGTCAGACTTTGTTAGAGAATATCCTTTAATTCTGTTTTACTTTCATACTGAAGTAAGTTTTGCTTTTAGGCCCTGCCCCGCTTAGCTGAAATTTCTAAATAACTACGCTTTTCAGGCATCACATTTTCGGTCAAATTATTATGTAGTCTTAAATTCTAAATACAGATAGAAGTGGTCTCAGGGCTGTAACTTAGGTCCCCTGGTCAGGCATAGAACATTCTCCTACATGTTTTGTGTTAGAGAACTAAAAATGTAATTTAATTTTAAATGAACCAATAGTTACTGAACATCTATGTCTAATGGCACTGTGCTTGGTTCTTTATCTGGTGTAGAAATAAATTAAGATATGGTCATTGTAGGAATAAATACATACTTAAAACCTGGGAAAATTAAACATGAAAAAAATTTTTTTTAACTAGCAAAATTCTAGAACATGGAAAGCAACTTCATTTTGAGGGAAATGGGAAATCTATATGGAAGAAAAACAATTGGGGGAGACAGGCAAATCTGTTAAAAACTGCTAGGGTAGGAGATAATATACCTTTTGGTTACAGTGGGTGAAATTATAACAAATGGTTGTTTTTGAAAGAAACATATCTCTGTATCAAAATGTGTCCTTGCAAAGTATAATATCCCAGCTATATAAATTATGAAAGAGTTTGAGCCACTTCCTGGGCTGAGGTACTCAGAGATGATTAGCCATAAAGATAGGACTGAAATTACTAGCTTTCTGATTTGAGGATACATTCTTCATATTCCTACTGAGGGTTTTCAGCATGCTTTGCAGGTACATGTGTTTTGTCTCTTCCTCGGACCATAAATATTTAGGCAATAGACACAGCCTGCAGAGGTTGGGAATACTGAAAATGCCAGTGTATTAAGGAAAAGGTAATAGTAGATGCAGATGTCATTTTGCTTTTAGCATAGTTACTTTAAATATATGTGTTCAATTTAGCAGTTAGCAGAAACTTTTGGAGGGTATCTTAAAATGAACTGTTATTTCCCTGCCACCCCCAAGAATTAATTAAGAAATATTGTTGGGGTCAGTCCTTAAATAAATGCACACCTCCCCCATTAGGAAGAACAATAGGGAGCTGAAGGACTTCTTTGACTATTTGAGATGCTATCAACACATTCCTATCTTGTTTTTTTTATGTGCATTTTAACTTAAAGATAGTATTTTTAGATGGTAGAGTACCCTAAATTGTATATTTTGAACTATCAAAATACGGATTTTTTTAAAAAAAATTATGGGATGGGGTTTAGAAGATATTGCTGAGCACTATTAAATTTGAAGGGCAGCATAGTAGAGAATTAGAAAGGATGTGTCATACATTCTTGTCTTCCTAAGATAAAGATGGCTTTTTATTTTGTATATGTATTTACATGGAGTGGCTTATCTTGCATTTTTGAATTTTGTAGCAATAGCTTTTATGCTATTTCAATGTGGATGTAACTTTATTGAAAAAATATGGTTGTAAATAAAAAGCAGCTTATTGTGAGTTATAGCCTTGAGTGAGAAAATAAAATTCACCCTACAGTCCTAGATTGGTACAGAATATCTTTATAAAAATTTATGTTTCACATATATAGGACACTATGTTAAAAATATTCTGAACTTAAAATGACCATTATGCCTTGGTTGTTTCTTTAGTTGTTTTTCTCCTGTGGAATGTGTTTCTTTATAATGTGTTTTTTCCCTTGTATTTTAGCCGAGAGTGGAAGCTAAACCAGAAGTTCAGTCTCAGCTACCTCTTGTGCGTGAACAGCGACCTAGAGAACGACCTTGCTTCCCTCCTAGAGGACCAAGACCAGGTGAGTCAGCCCCTTCTGTGGCCTTCAGCACTTAAGCACTTGAAAAGTTGAAGACTGAACTTAAAAAAATTTAAAAATATATATATAATGTGTTTTATATGCAAATCCTTTTAGTACCAAAGTGCTTAAAGGCTTAAGTAACCTGCTAAATATAGCCTGGGCAAAACAACTTTGAGGGCAAGATTAGTTGACATGCCATAGTGACATGTATTTTGAAGGTGTAAAAGAATTTAGAGACACATTTTATTTGGTTATTGTCACTGGTTCTAAGAATTCAAAACCGAGCTGCCAATAACCTACTCTCTTACTTAGCACTCTTATCTCTTCACAGATAAACAATAAGCACACCCTGATTCTTCTTATTTTGATTGTCTTAGGTATTAAGTAAGTTGTCGTGATTTTTGACTTGTTTCTCCGCGGCTTCCTGCGGAGGTTCTGAGGCTGTCAGTGAGAAGAGCCTGGGTTAGTCAGTGACTCAGCAAGCAGCCAGCAGCGGGCCAGGGCTGTGGCTGGGCCGGGGAGGCCGGGCGTCCCGTTCAGTGAGACCAGGGCTGGCCTCAAACCCCGGAGTTTCAGGGCTCCCCCGGGGGAGGAGGTGTGGGTGCTCCTAAGCGCGGGCTTCCTCAGCGCTGTTCTCAGTCGGACCTTTCTGGGTCGGCTTCTGGCGTCGCTCTGTTCTGAAGGCCTGTGAAGCAGAAGAGGAGGCCACAGCCGAGAAGCTGTGAGAGCTTCTGAATCATCGATGGTGATCAGGGCATCTTAAATCATATGACTCAGGACGGTCACTGGAAGCTGGCCAGTTCCTAAAGCAGCATCCTGAGATTGTAGGAGGCACGTCGTAAACTGTTTCCTTCCTTTCGTTCTGGTTTTAAAGCTTGGGAAAGCTTGAGTTCATCTCATCACGGATGAGACCACATTCCAGGCCCCTGTCTTCCCAGGTCTGTGTGATGCGGCCTGAGATGCGGTGGCTCGGCCAGGGCTGTGGCCCGCGTGCCGTGAGGGCCCCTGCCACCCCTGCAGGAGGAGCATCTCTGGGGCACGTCCAGCCTCCTGAGGGGGCCGAGGGAGGAAGCGCAGTCCGAGCCGGCACAGGGCTGCCACGCGGCGCATGCTCAGGCACATGCGTGTGCTCACGGGGTCCTTTCAGAGTGTGCACGCTGTTTTGTAACTCCACAGTGGTGACCTGAATGAGACTCTCCTGGGTACTGTCACGTCCTCCCGTGGCTCTAAGTCTTGTTCTTACGGGCTGTGCTCACAGGGTATAAGGTATCGGCCTAAACGCAGACATGAATTTAGCAGCTTGAGACAACACTGATGACCTCCCATGGTATCTGAGGGCAGGGATTCAGAGCAGGCGAGCCAGGGGATTCTGGCCGAGGGTCCCTCAGGAGGCTGCAGTAGGGGCTTCAGGCGGGGCTGCCCCATCCGAAGGCCGGACCGGGCGGGATGCCTGGCTTCCAGGAGGCCCCTCCTGTGGCTCCTCTGCACGTGGGCCCCGCAGGGCTGCTGAGGCTCCTCAGTGCATGGGGGCCGGCTCCCCTCAGGAGGAGTGTGACGCGGGAGAGCGTTGGTGGAAAGTTCTAGACTCTCCTTCTCATCCTGTGGCTACCTCAGTGCCTTGTACACTGTGCTGTGTGCGTTTGTCTCTGAGCAGACCCTGCGGGAAGCGTGGCGTCTTCTCTGCTTTCAGTGGGTACAGGAGCCCAGGGAATTCAGGGCTGCCAGGACTGTCTGTCTGGACTCACTGAATGTTGTGGACCAGGAACAGAGTCCATCGGCCACATGAGTGTCTTAGATGCCCAGTATTTTCCTACTGAGGTGGAGGTGCTTTTAACAATGCCTCACATTTCCTCCTATAGATTGTGTTGTGGTTTTTCGTCTGTTTTTCACTGCGCCGTGCAGCTCGTGGGATCTTAGTTCCCCAACCAGGGATTGAACCTGGACCCTCAGCAGTGAAAGCACAGAGTCCTAACCACTGGACCACCAGGGAAGTCCCTGTTGCTGTTGTTGATAGCTGTTTTGAGGTGTAATTCCCACACTCTTCACCTCATCCACCTAAAGCATGCCATTCCCTGCTTTGTAGTGTATTCATTGAGTGCGGTCATCACTACTACTAATTTTGGAACGTTCCATCATCCCGAGAGGAAACTGCATCCCCATTAGCATCCCTCCCATCCACCTCCCCAGCCTCTGACAACCAGGAACCCACTCTCTCTCTGTGCACTTGCCTGTTCTGGACGTTTCCCATCAATGGAATCACACACACTGTGTGTCCTCCATCTGGCTTCTCTCACTGAGGATTGTGTTCTCAGGGTCCATCCACGTTGTAGCGAGTGTCAGTGCTTCACTCTTTTTCGTGGATGGATAATATTTCAGTGTGTGGAGGGACACATTTGTTTATTCGTTCATCTGTTGATGGACATTTGGGTGGTTTCCACCTTTTGGCGGTTGTGAATCACGCCTCTGTGAACATTAATGTTCGGGGTTTGGGTGTGGTTTTTTTTTTTGGCTGCGTTGTGTCTTTGTTGCTATGCGCGGGCTTTCTCTAGTTGTGGTGAGTGAGCTCTAGTCTTTGTTGCAGTGTGTGGGCTTCTCATTGCAGTGGCTTCTCTTTTGCGGAGCACAGGCTCTAGGCACGCGGGCTTCAGTAGTTGCAGCACACGGGCTCTGTAGTCGTGGCGCATGGGCTTCGTTGCTCCGTGGCATGTGGGATCTTCCAGGATCAGGGCTCGAACCTGTGTCCCCTGCATTGGTAGGTGGATTCGTAACCAGTGCCCCACCAGGGAAGCCCAATGTTCAGGGTCTTGTGTGGACGAATATTCTCATTTCTCTTGGGCAGACACCCAGGAGAGGAATTGCTGGGTCATTTGCTAAGTGTTTAACCTTTGAGGAGCTGCCAGACTGTTTTCCAAACCCAGCTGTCCTCACTGTTTTCTGCTGTTTGCCAGGAGGCCCTGGGGCCGATCGTTCCCATCAGTGGTTCTTCCCCAGGGTTTCTGGGTCAGCAGTGGCGCTGAAGCTGCGGGTTGGTTCCCCCGTGTCGGGAACCACTGGTCTGCAGGGCTGTCCTGTGCTGGACCTTACAGACGGCACGTGCTCCAGCTCCCGCCCCCCGGCCTTGTCTAAGTAATATGAGTTCAATGGATATTTACTGCTCCATCCTTGGTAAGTTGGAGGATATTATTAAGAACGATAGAAGATTGTTTTTTATCTTTTCCTTAAAAAATAAGATTCTGGGCCAAAGGTCACATACCGTAATTCTATTTACAAATGCCAAGAACGGGCAAATCCACAGAAACAGAGAGTGGATTAGTGTTGTCAGGGGCTGGGGAGGGGATTGGGACATGTCTGCTAATGGGGTGATGGGATGTTCTGGAACTAGATAGAAGGCATGGTTGCCCAGCTCTGAATGTATTAAAACCACTGAACTGTATACTTGAAGCGGGGGCCCATTCTGTGTGAATTATAGCTCAGTAGGTCTGCTGTTGCAAAGATGAGGCTTAGGACACAAAGGGTGTTTCCAGAGTTGTTTGACGTGTTAGGACCGCTGTGCCATGGGGGCCCCTGTCCTGGGACCTTCCGGGCATCCGTGCCCTGGCCCGTAGGGGCTCTGCCTGCGTTGCCGTCCTCCACTGTGAAGCGTGGAAATGGTGGCCTGGTCTGAGAGGGGCAGTCGCTGTCCAGGGGCAGGGCTGGCAGCTCTGGGCCTGACCATCTCACCTCCGGCTTCAGCCCGTGCTCTTCACAGGCCCTCCTCTCGCTGTGCATCCTCTTCGAGGCCCCTCCTCACCGCGATAGGAGCCTTCACCGGCGGGGCGGAGGTGCAGTCTAGAGTTACAGACCGTTCACACGATGCGTCGTCCTTGCTCGGTTTCTGCGGGGTGTTGGGTTAGCTGGCCGACAAGACCCCAGTGAAAGGCCGGAGCGACCCCCGACGTGCTCCTCGGGGAAAGCGGCGAGGCCAGCCCACGGGGTTCAGTGAGGCCAGGAAAGCGCCGCAATGGCCGAGAGGGAGGACCGCTGCTCGCCCGCTCCTGGTGGTTGCATGAGTGGTGTTTCCCCATTTTACAGATGGAGACTGAGGCCTGTGGCGGTTCAGGGACTCAGAGGCAGACCTGTGGCTTCCAGGCTGCAGGAGTGCCCGAGGGAAGTCCTGGGGCAGGAGGGTTGGGGGCTTCGAGTCCGTCCCGGTCCCTTCCTGGCGGCCTGCTGGGTGGCAGGGCGCTGCAGGAACAGGCGCTCCCGGAGCCAGCGTGTCCCACATGGCAGGACAGGGCCCCAGCGCTGTGGGTGGAGCTCTCTGGTAGGTCCCGCGTGTCGGGGAGTCCCGGGGGCTGCAGCACCCACCTCCTCTGGTCGCCCCCATCACCGGAGCGGGGAGGGACGGCTCTGAACCCTGTCCCTTTATCTTTCAGGACGTTTAAACCCCACGATGCCGATCACGGAATCATTGAGACCATCCGGTGAGTGTGGCGCCTGCTGGTGCGGGGCCTCGGGGTGGGCCAGTCCTGAGTTCCCAGCAGCCCCCGAGCCGTGCAGTCCCCCATTCCTCCATACTGATCCGCGTCAGCATCGTCAGCATCGAGGAGGCTTGGGAAGCGGGGCTGTGGGGTCAGGGGTCAAGTCCTCTGAGTGTGGCCCAGGACAGGTCTTGGTGCTTCGTGAGCTGGCTTCCTGTGGAAGAGGCTGGAAATCCTGAGTGGCCAGCTTCCCGAGCGACCCCTCCCCTCTCCCCTCGTCACCTTGGTTTACTCTTCTCCCGTGGGGTTTGGTGTGACCTTTGGGTTTGGGCCGCTCTTCACTCTGTGAGCCTGCCCGGTGCTGTGCAGAGGAGGCCGGGTGCCCGGGAGGCTGACCCGGGCGAGATCTGGGAGGAGGGCCGCCTGCTGTGTTCTAGCGGGCTGTCTCCTCACGTGGGACCTGACGGTTTGCGACGGCCTCCAGAGTGCCCTCGGGGGCCCATGCGCAGAATCCTGCGACCGCTCTTGGCTTTAGAGTGTTCCACGTGTGTGACCGTGGCCCTGGCATCTCATTG